AATGTATGACCTTGAATCATATTCAAGGTCACAAGGAGCAAATATGTTCAAAATATTTCAACAACTTGTTCTGAATAACCAAAAGGCTTAGGATGTTGATATTTAGTCAGTAGCATATGCTGGGATCAAGGACTACTTTGTTTGTTAAAGTGAATGACTTTTACTTATATTCAAGGTCACAGGGGTCAAATTTGTTTAAAATCTTTAAACAACCTCTTCTGAATAACCATGGGTCCCAGGATGTTTATACTTTGCAAGTTGCATCCTTAGATGAAAGGCTATACAATGTGTTCAACATAATGACTTTGTTCGACTTTCAATCACAGGGGTAAAATGTTAAAAAAAAAAAATAACGGTCTTTTGAATGAATTTTAATCATAAATACTGATATTTTGTCTGTAGCTTTATTTTAGATCACTTTTAAGGTTACATGTGTGAGTTTTATACCAGGTGAGCGATGCAGGCCCATTGGGTCTCTTGTTTTAATTCCCCTGCTAGGAGTCGAACCCAGGACCTCTGGCTTAAAAGTCTTATGTTCTACCAAATGAGCTTAAGAGAAATTCTTCCTAGCCGAATTGGTAGGAAGCGGCTAGTATTTTACCAGGGTGACACTTATATAATCCTCCATCATTGTCATCCCTATTGTCATCATTAATTAATTGATTGACTTATCTATTAATTACTAATTTTTATCCAGTTTCCACCCAAAGATTTTCAATATGTGTGTTGCTCTCTTGATTTGAGAGCTGAAATTGATGTAAAGGTTGTCAACAACTTCATCATTATTTCATTCTCATGGTACATAAATTATTAATAGCAAATGCATTGGGAACACTGTAATACCGTCAAGTCACATAAATCAGTCTTGTTATACCCCCGCAACGAAGTCAGGGGGTATACTGGAAACACCCTGTCTGTCTGTCGTCTACAGTAACTTGTCCGGAATACTTCTCCTTAACTAACTGGTGGATTTCATTGAAACTTTGCATGAATGATTGATATTTCATGTAGATGTGCACCGGCATTTTAATTTGGGATTTCAGCCTTTTTTGATGGAGTTATGCCCCTTTGTGCGAAATACTTGTCTGTGCACCTCCTCCTTAACCAATGGGTGGATTTCATTGAAACTTCGCATAAATGTTCGGTATCTCATGTAGTTGTGCACCAACATTTTTAATTTGGGATTTCGACCCTTTTTGATTGGAGTTATGTCCCTTCGTGCGTAATACTTGTTGTATTTAGATAATCAAAAGCATGGGGCCCCAAACCTGCTGTATCACTTTCTAGCTTCATAAACCCAGTTAATACTAATCTGGATGTGCTGTTATTGACTTAGTGTTCTGTAGGGGACAGATTTTACTTTCTTTAATCAAACTGCAGTAATTTTGCTGTTTCACAATTGAGCCACTTATGACAGGGATACAACTTCTATATTTGTACTAGAATTCCTTAATAATTCATGCTCAAATTAAAATAGAAAGAATTTGTCCTTGATTGTTTTGAGAAATATAGGGTAAAAACAAATGATAAGATTCTTACATCTTTTTTACAGCAAAGTTCAGATTCTGCTGAGGAGGAAGCTGAAGAGGCTCAAGAAGTAGTAGAAGAAGAACAGGAGGAGGAAGAAGAGGAAGTAGAGGAAAAAGAGGTTAAACCTAAAGGCAAAAAGGTGGATTGTCATATCTTTATAATATTAAAATACAATATTTAACACCAAATTAAAAGGAATGTAATACCTATTGTACATCAGGTCTGATAATATTGGCTTTTTATCTCGTACCCTGGTCGCTTCGCTCAAAAAAAATCTGTCAATTTCGTCCGTAGACAAAGTGTTTGTATTTCTTCATCAGGTTCTGTAATGTTTGCTTTTTATCTCGTACTCTGTCTAGTGGACAGTTATTGACAAGGTTTTGTTATATTTTATTTGCAGAAACAGGCTGCCAAAGCTAAGGGACCACAAAAGAGAAAGAAAGCCACCACTGGGGTAGGTTATCAGTAGGGCTGGGACAATACAGGTAGTGGGTCACCACTGGGGTAGGTTCTCAGTAGGGCGGGGACAATACAGGTAGTGGGTCACCACTGGGGTAGGTTCTCAGTAGGGCTGGGACAATACAGGTAGTGGGTCACCACTGGGGTAGGTTATCAGTAGGGCAGGGACAATACAGGTAGTGGGTCACCACTGGGGTAGGCTCTCAGTAGGGCAGGGACAATACAGGTAGTAGGTCACCACTGGGGTAGGTTCTCAGTAGGGCAGGGACAAAACAGGTAGTGGGTTACCGCTGGGGTAGGTTCTCAGTAGGGCAGGGACAAAACAGGTAGTGGGTTACCGCTGGGGTAGGTTCTCAGTAGGGCAGGGACAAAACAGGTAGTGGGTCACCACTGGGGTAGGCTCTCAGTAGGGCAGGGACAATACAGGTAGTGGGTCACCACTGGGATAGGTTCTCAGTAGGGCTGGGACAATACAGGTAGTAGGTCACCACTGGGGTAGGTTATCAGTAGGGCAGGGACAATACAGGTACTGGGCATGTTGTTACATAGCTAAAGTGGAAGAGTTATTTGTAAGAGTGGGTAAATATTAGCTACATTTCATTGTAAGTCCTTAAATATCTATCACTGGTCAAATATCTAAAAATTGTTAAATATAGTTTGATGATTTATTTTTTGACAGGGAAAGCCGGCCAAGCGAACGAAGAAAGAATCATCTGGAGATGAAGAAGAAGGGGAAGAGGCTGAAAAAGTTGGAGAAGCTGAAGAAGAGGAGGATTTTGATGATGTTTCCCTTCCTTCTGATAACTCTGAGGATGAAGTATGTGCTCATTCAGATTCCTAGGAGATATATTATGAGTCTTTTTTAGGGGCCAATAATTTCACCCCAATTCCAAATTAAAAGGATTTTTTTCAATTCTAAGAAAATATATTCAAGGTTGAATTCTGATGGCAATGCAATATTTACATCCTACAACAACAAATTTAAGAGTTGAGGTGTTTTAGTCTTTTAGGTAATATATTTTGTTAAAAAAATCAGTTATTGTTACAGTAATGTAAATTTCCCTGGTGCAGCTTTTCTGGGAAATCCCTTATTTTTGCTGTAATGAGTGTGCCATGATTGATATCATGGTATGATGATTTTTTGAGCTAGGCTGGTTGAAATCAGCCAATCAGAATAACTGTTACATGCTTGTCATTTATGACTGATAACATGGTATGATAATTACTGCGCTAGGCTTGTGGTAATCAGCCAATCAGAATAACTGTTACATATTTGTCATTTATGACTGATAACATATCATGATAATTACTGCGCTAGGATTGTGGTAATCAGCCAATCAGAATAACTGTTACATATTTGTCATTTATGACTGATAACATGGTATGATAATTACTGAGCTAGGCTTGTGGTAATCAGCCAATCAGATAGACTGTTACATATTTGTCATTTATGACTGATAACATGGTATGATCATTACTGAGCTAGGCTTGTGGTAATCAGCCAATCAGAATAACTGTTACATATTCGTCATTTATGACTGATAACATGGTATGATAATTACTGAGCTAGGCTTGTGGTAATCAGCCAATCAGATAGACTGTTACATATTTGTCATTTATGACTGATAACATGGTATGATATATACTGAGCTAGGCTTGTGGTAATCAGCCAATCAGAATGACTGTTACATGCTTTTTATATAATGACTACTAGCATGCAATGGAAACTGTTAAGCAAGCCTTGTGGAAATATCAGAATGACTGTTAGATACTTGTTATATAATGACTGATAGCATGACGAGATGATCACTGAACATGACTTTCTTTCATGCAGGACTTTGATGTAGAAGAGAAAAAACCTAAAGGTCGAGGCCGCCCAAAGGGATCAACTAAAGGCAAAGGAGGCAAGGCAAAGAAAGTTGATGAGTCGGAGGACGAGGACAGTGAGGGTGGGGAGGAGGAAGAGAAAGACCAAGAAGACGAAGATGTGGAAGAGGAGGAAAAACCAAAGAAATCCAAGAAACCTGCTCAGCCTCGACGACAGAGCAGAGGTGGGGGATCTGCGAGCAAGAGAGGAGGTAGGATAAAAGAAACGGGTAGTTCTGATAGTAGTCAGAAGGTACGGTAAGGGGGTGAGTGGGTGGGGGAGGGTAAGGTAACAGAATGGATGGGGGACAGGAGGGGAGGGGGTCTGATAGTAGTCAGAAGATATGGTAAGAGAGATGAGTGGGTTGGGGAGGGTAAGGTAACAGAATGGATGGGGTCAGGAGGGGAGGGGGTCTGATAGTTGTCAGAAGATACAGTAAGAGAGATGAGTGGGTGGGGGAGGGTAAGGTAACAGAATGGATGGGGGTCAGGAGGGGAGGGGGTCTGATAGTAGTCAGAAGATGTGGTAAGAAAGATGAGTGGGTTGGGGAGGGTAAGGTAACAGAATGGATGGGGTCAGGAGGGGAGGGGGTCTGATAGTTGTCAGAAGATACAGTAAGAGAGATGAGTGGGT